GTGTGGGTGTGTGTGTGTGTGTGTGTGTGTGTGTGTATTCTGTGCTCATACAGGGCTTTGAGCTGCTTCCGGCAGGGTACGGTGTTCCTCATGCAGGTTCCGCTCAGCGGGTCCACGTCCTCCACGATGACAAACGGCGCCTCCTCCAGCGTCACGATGGACAGATGATCGTCCTCACGAGCCTCCGGCCCAGAGTACAGCTCAAACCTCGGCCACACGTGATACTTCATGGAGAGAGAGCCGTTCTCCCACTTACCCACCTGTGCGCACACACACACACACACACGCGCACACACACAAACACACACACACACGCGCACACACACACACACAAACACACACAAACACACACACACACACACTTTAACATTGTATTTAGGCTCACTTGTGAGAAATAATTCCCAATAAACACTAGAGAAGCAGACGTCACTCAGCTGATGGATCATAGTAGCTTGTGTCAGATATAATTTACCAGCAGACAAAGCAGATATTTTATAGCATACGCAAACACACACACATAAACTCACCGGCCACTTTATTAGGTACACCTGTCCAACTGCTCATTAACATAGATGTCTAATCAGCCAATCACATGGCAGCAGCTCACTGCATTTCAGCATGCAGACATGGTCAAGAGGATCTGCTGCAGGTCAGAGTGAGCATCAGAATGGGGAAGAAAGGGGATTTAAGAGACTTTGATCGTGGCATGGTTGCTGCTACCAGACGGGCTGCTCTGAGTATTTCAGAAACTGCTGATCTACTGGGATTTTCACACACAACCATCTCTAGGGTTTACAGAGAATGCTCCGACAAAGAGGAAATATCCAGTGAGCGGCAGTTCTGTGGGCGCAAATGACTTGTTGATGAGGCCAGAGGTCAGAGGAGAATGGCCAGACTGGTTCCAGCTGATAGAAAGGCAACAGTAACTCAAATAAGCACTCGCTACAACCGAGCTCTGCAGAAGAGCATCTCTGAACACACAACACGTCCAACCTTGAGGCGGATGGGCTACAGCAGCAGAAGAGCACACCGGGTGCCGCTCCTGTCAGCTAAGAACAGGAAACTGAGGCTACAATTCACACAGACTCACCAAAACTGGACAATAGAAGATTGGAGAAACGTTGCTGCTCTGATGAGTCTCCATTTCTGCTGACACATTCAGATGCTCGGCTCAGACAACATGAAAGCATGGATCATCCTGCCTTGTATCAGCGGTTCAGGCTGGTGGTGGTGGTGTAATGGTGTGGGGGAGATTTTCTTTGGGTCCATTAGTACCAATTGAGCATCAACGCCACAGCCTACCTGAGTATTGCTGCTGACCATGTCCATCCCTTTATGAGCACAGTGTCTCCATCTTCTGATGGCTACTTCCAGCAGGATAACGCAGCATGTCATAAAGCTCAATCATCTCAGACTGGTGAACATGACGATGAGTTCACTGTACTCAAATGGCCTCCACAGTCACCAGAGCTCAATCCAATAGAGCAGCTTTGGGATGTGGTGGAACGGGAGATTGGCATCATGGATGTGCAGCCGACAAATCTGCAGCAACTGTGTGATGCTATCATGACAATATGGAGCAAAACCTCTGAGGAATATTTCCAGTAGCTTGATGAATCTCTGACATCGAGGATTAAAGCAGATCTGAAGGTGAAAGAGGTCCGACCCGGTACTAGTGAGGTGTACCTAATAAAGTGGCCGCCGAGTGTACACAGACAAATAAGCTCAAACACACATGCACAAATATACAGACACACAGGCACACTGGTATTGGTGGTTTCTGAGGACTCTTCATGGGTGTAATGTCTTTCACACAGTAAAAAACAGATTATAAGCCCCTCCCCGTCTCTCCCTCATGAACACATTGGTGATTGTTTCTGTCGTCTGCTCATACAACTCTCTCTCATCTAATCATCTGACCAATCAAATGCTCTCTAGTGTCTGACAAGCCCCACCCCCTTATTCTCATTGGCTGTTCATTTGATGCAATTGAGCTCAAACACTCCCACTGGCAGAGCTGTGAGGAAAACAAACACTATTGGCTGCTTTTATTAAGGGGAGGAGCTACTCTATGCATGAATAAAGCATGCGCATCACAGCCCCTTAAACATGTCGAATTACAAGAACACAAGACAGGTCCCCATAAACCCCCTCATCATTGAAATGCAGTATACCCATCATATCTGTGTCCTGGTGAACCACCCAAACCAGTACACACACACACACACACACACACACACACACACACACACACGCACACACACACCTCCTTCACAGAGACAGACAGGCATGCGCATCTGCTAAACACACACTTTGAGCCATGAGTCCACTGGATGAAGATGATGATGGTGATGATGATGATGAAGATCAGCACAGACTCCTCAGAGCTCAGGGGATGTTCGGGTGTGTCTTACTCTGTCCCACTGCCGCTCCTTATCCAGCAGGATGATCACCAGCTTAGGGTGCATCTGATAGCCGTCCTCACTGAACGACAGATTGCGGCCCTCGAACGTCACGTTCATCAGGTACCTGACACACAAGCACGCACACACACACGCACACACACACACAAGCACGCACACACACACACACACACACACACACACACACACACACACACACACACACACACACACACACACACACACACGCGCACAAGCATGCACACACACACACACACACACGCGCGCACAAGCACGCACACACACGCACACACACACACACACAGTTATTAGTAGTCTGTGTGTGTGTGTGTGGTGTAGTGTGTGAGTGTGTGTATTGTGTGTAGTGTGGAACCCACCTGAGCACCTCGTTGTTGTTCCCCGTCATCGGGCTCTTCTTGTCCGGGGCCCCGTGGCACTCAGACTTCAGCAGCGTGTGCGGCCCGCGGTCCATCATCATGGTGGAGGTTGCCGTGGCGATAACAGCCACACCATCACGCACACGCGCCTCCAGCCCATAATCCCACTCATCATACGACACTGAGATCATGCCTGCGCGCACACACACACACACACACACACACACACACACACACACGTGTCAGAGAACATCTGCACCTACAGTGTGTGTGTGTGTGTGGGATGTGTCCAGATGTGCGTCACCTGTAGGAAACTCCGCCGGGATGTGATCAGCGTCTCCGGCCACCAGCGAGGGCACGATCCAGGTGTACCCGTACCCCGTGAGGCCGACGGAGTGCGCCACCTGGAAGATGATGTTGGCCTCCTCTTTGGTGGAGTAGAGCAGGATGACGGGACTCTGCAGCTTCTTCAGCAGGTTCTGGATCTTAGCGTCTCCGTCATCCACAGACATGTCCAGCAGCAGCACCTCCTCCAGCTCCCAGCCCACAAAACTGTTCTCGATGGTGCTGCGGATCTACACCAGACCACAGACGCATCAGAACATACAGCAGGCGGCGCTCTAGACTAGAGTTTAACAGCAGATGGCGCTCTAGGCTAGAGTTTAACAGCAGAGGGCGCTCTAGACTAGAGTTTAACAGCAGAGGGCGCTCTAGACTAGAGTTTAACAGCAGAGGGCGCTCTAGACTAGTGTTTAACAGCAGAGGGTGCTCTAGACTAGTGTTAAACAGCAGAGGGCGCTCTAGACTAGAGTTTAACAGCAGAGGGTGCTCTAGACTAGTGTTTAACAGCAGAGGGCGCTCTAGACTAGAGTTTAACAGCAGAGGGCGCTCTAGGCTAGTGTTTAATAGCAGAGGGCGCTCTAGGCTAGAGTTTAACAACAGAGGGCGCTCTAGGCTAGAGTTTAACAGCAGAGGGCGCTCTAGGCTAGAGTTTAACAGCAGAGGGCGCTCTAGGCAAGAGTTTAACAGCAGAGGGCGCTCTAGGCTAGTGTTTATCAGCAGAGGGCGCTCTAGGCTAGTGTTTAACAGCAGTGGGTGCTCTAGGCTAGTGTTTAACAGCAGAGGGTGCTCTAGGCTAGTGTTTAACAGCAGAGGGTGCTCTAGGCTAGTGTTTAACAGCAGAGGGCGCTCTAGACTAGAGTTTAACAGCAGA